AGGGAATTCTACAAGCAGTTCACACTCCTGAGCGCCAGCACTCCAGGTGCTTGGCTCTCACAGTCTCTTCCATGGATCTATTTGGTAACAGTGTGTCCCAAGACCCTTACTGAGGGCCTGAGAGGTCAAAGCTATTTTCACAATAATACCAACGTTTGTTGCCCTTTTCACTGTGTTGGTATTTGCACTGAGGTCAAAAGCAACAGGGGTAAAACCAGTGCCTTGGCGTGAATTAGCATGAATTAGGATGTCTGCGCTGGGTACCATGACAGCCTTCACTGTCACGCTGTCTCATTAAAGAATCAAAAAAGCTGGTTGCACTTAAAAATATCCTTGGGGCAGGATTATTTTGATTAAATTTCAAAGCTTACTTGGACATTTTTTTTTTCAGACAGGTTCTCACTCTGTCGCCCAGACTGGAGTGCAGTGGCACAATCTCGGCTCATTGCGACCTCCGCCTCCCAGGCTCAAGCAATTCTCCTGCCTCAGCCTTCCGGGTAGCTGGGACTACAGGCACTCAGCACCACAGCTGGCTAATTTTGTATTTTTAGTAGAGATGGGGTGTCACCAAGTTGTCCAGGCTGGTCTCGAACTCCTGACCTCAAATGATCCACCTGCCTCTGCCTCCCAAAGTGCTGGGATTACAGGCGTGAGTCACCGTGCCCGGCCACTTGTACATTTTTAATAGTCTGCTGATCTTGAAGCGTGATGATTGTCATGAGGAAAGCACTTTTGTGATTGAGTAGAAGGTAAGCTTTTGTCATAGCATGTCACTTTTACTGGAAAGAACAGCTGATGGACAAACCATATCACTCAGATCTAGTATTTGGCAGACATGTGAGAGTGAAGTGAGCCTGTCACTTCAAGGGAAACAACTGAGAGTATTTGTTGCCATTAAAACTTTTTGAGCTTCTGAATGAAAATTGGAATTTCTGAAATTTCGTATTTGTCATTGTGAGTTTGAGCCTCTCCAATCTTAGCAGCTTTTCTAATGAGATTGGTGGTGATATTAATGTGGCCTTTTTTTTTTTTTGAGACAGGGTCTCACGCTGTCACCCAGGCTGAAGTTCAATGACATGATCACAGCTCACTGCAGCCTTGATCTCTTTCTCACACTCAAGCAATCCTCCTCCTACCTCAGCCTCCCACGTAGCCGGGACTGCAGGCACACACCACCACACGTGGCTAATTTTTCAATTTTTTGTAGCAATGAGGGCTCACTATGTTGCCCAGGCTGGTCTTGAACTCCTGGATTCAAGCAATCTTCCCACCTCGGCCTCCTAAAGTGCTAAGGTCACAGGCATGAACCATCACACCTGGGCTAACGAACATGATTTTTTAATGTTATATATGTAATTGTTCCACCAGTGAACCCTTATTTTCCAAGCGACCAATGCATGGTGTTATGAAATCATGCATGGGTAAAAGATCTGTTCAAAGTGCAAAAGAGACCATTGAATTTTCATTTAGCAGTATGAAAAGGTCTCTGGTGTGGTCCCAGATTCCACGTGGCAACTCACCTTTCAGAAACTAACGGTTGTCAAATTTTGATGTAGTACCAAAGAACAATATCCACGAATTTTTGAAAAGACTATTCAAAGGCTCCCTCCTTCCCCAGCTGCACACCTGTGTGAGGCTGGATCATCATACACTCTCAAACATTTTACCACAGATTGAGTGCAGATGCAGATTTGCTTCTGGAAAGCCAGGCATTAAAGATATTTGCAAAACCATTTTACAAAATGCCACTCTTCTGCCTATTCTTTGTCTTGGAAAAATTATTTTTCATTTAAAAATGATGTTTTTAAGTTCAGGGACACAAGTGCAGGTTTGCCGCACAGGTAAACTTGTGTCCTGGGGCTTTGCTGTACAGATTATTTCATCACCCAGGCATTAAGGCTAGGACCTAAATATATAAAAATATACTTAAATATTTAAATGTTTCTCGGTTTTAGTTGCAAACACAGTAAATATTGATATATATATATTCCTCCACATAAACACAAGCTCTTTGGAGTCCTTAATCATTTTTAAATGTTTAAATGGATCCCGAGACCAAAATCATGTCTACTCTGTAGGGAAAGGAGCTGCTATATTGGGGTGAAAGGCTGCAGGCAGGGAGTTAAACATAAAATAAAGAACATTCCCTCTGCCACGGTTTCCCAACCAGTGAGTTGCAACAGTCTGGCCCATCACAAGGCAGTCCTCTCTGAGTCACTGTGTACTAAGCAACCCTGTTTAAAATCCTGAGTCCGTCTCACTGTCTCCCAGGCTGGAGTGCAGTGGCACAATCTCAGCTCACTGCAACCTCTGCCTTCCTGGTTCAAGTGATTCTCCTGCCTCAGCCTCCCAAGTAGCTGGGATTACAAGTGCCAGCCACCACGCCCGGCTAATATTTGTACTTTTAGTAGAGATAAGGTTTCACCATGTTGGCCAGGCTGGTCTCGAACTCCTGACCTCAAGTGATCCACCTTTCTCTGCCTCCCAAAGTGGTGGGATTATGGATGTGAGCCACCTCACCAGCCACTGAGTCCTCTTTCAAAGTGCCTTTCTCAAAAAGGCATTTAGGTAAAAGCTAATGTTTGAGCCACAGAGCCATGACCCAGAAACCCACAGGTAACTGTTGGCCTGTCATCCTGGTCGTTGGTCAAGTGGCCAGGAGGTATGAACGTATTCCTGTCCTTGTCCATCAGGGCACTGTCTCAGCTGGGTTTCCCCCTGAGGCCAGCCTGGGCTCTCCAAGAGACTGTGTCGGCCACACGCCCAGGTCCCTCGGTTCTCCTGCCTCCTGAGGCTGCCCCTGTATTCTTTCATGAAGCCGTCCCTCCAGCCCCCAGGCAGGGAGAGTAGAAGAAGAATGCTTCATAGCCTGTTTTCCACTTGATCGTCACTCTGGCAGTCAAATAGGGGCTGTGGTTATCTGCTATTATTCTGCTTTTCTATACATAATAGCTATGCTCATCATAGTCTCATATCTGAGAGATATAAAGCTGACCATATTACAGGCCCTCTGCATTACCTAACCTCAGAGAAAGAGAAAGAGAATTGGGAGTTCAGTAAGGTATAAATTTTCTTTTTTTTGAGACAGAGTCTCGCTCTGTCGCCCAGGCTGGAGTGCAGTGGCATGATCTTGGCTCATTGCAACCTCCACCTCCCAGGTTCATCAAGTGATTCTCCTGCCTCAGCCTCTTGAGTAGCTGGAATTAGGCTGCCACCAGGCCTGGCTAATTTTTGGATTTTTAGTAGAGACGGTGTTTCACCGTGTTGGTCAGGCTGGTCTTGAACTCCTGACCTCTTGATCTGCCTGCCTCGGCCTCCCAATGTGCTGGGATTATAGGCATGAGCCACCTCGCCCAGGCTGGAATATTTTTTTTTAATCAGGGTTGGTTTTTGAATCTTCAGTCATTTCCCCTAATAACAGAATTGATATATGACAAATGTAAAATATTTAAAATGGACAAAGATACTGTATTTATAAGACAATTAAAAGCATTTATAATCCTATTAATCCCAAGTAGCCACTATTAAGAGTTTGGTATGTGATTATCTAGGCTTTTCTTCTGTGAATGTATATAAACATATATAAATTTTTAATACATAAAATCATATCACACATAGTTTTCTATCTGCTTTTTAAATATTTTCCATGGATACCTTTCCATAGCTATATACTCATCCTCATTTTAAAACTATATTATTTCCTGGTGTAGATGAAAGCTGAGGTATTTGTTACTAACCTGCTGTTGTCGGATATTCGGGTGATCCAGAACGAAGATAAATGTTTTTACAGTGCTTTTGGGATGTGAAATCTAATGCTCAGGCATCAGACATCAGTGTACAATCAAGAGCCCATCTCAGAAGGTACAGAAGGTCCCCGTGTCCCAGAATTAGCCCCAAAAAAACCCCAAGATAAAAAAAGGACCTTCATTCCTAGCTGAACTTTTCAGGGGGTTACCTTTTATTCCATAGAATATTCAAGGAGAGGCAGAGCTCCCAGGAGCAAGGCACACGCTCTCGCCCAGCTGCCCGTGGACAGAGCTGTAACCTGGGCCCAGGGCACACTCCCAGCCTGCAGATGGAGATGCTCCCTCATCATTCTAAATCTAAACTTTAGGATCAGCCCTTCTCCTACCCCAGGGAGTCCTGGCCAACCCATCTCCCCACTCCTCTAGAGCTGTTGGGGTGTGAGGTCTCAGGCAAGGCCAAACATTCTGGGGCGAGGGAGGGAGGGGAGAGTGGGCTCTGGTCACTGAAGTGTTGCCCACACACGTGGCTTCCAAGATGCCCATGACCTGGTTCCCTCCACGCCACCCCTGGGCCACAGGGCTCTTTGCCAAGGCTGCCTGTGGCCGCCACATCCCTGAGCCCTGCTGCCCTGGGGTCCACAAACTTCTCTTCTAAGGAAAAGCTTCCACGGGGGTGGAGGGATTCTTCAACCTTCCTGCTTCCTCCTGCCCAAACCCTCAGGCCCAGGCTTTGTGGGAGCCTTCAGGCAGGCAGGAAAGGGTCTTGCAGGTGACTTCAGTTTCCACCAAGGACCCCTCCAGAACAGAAGGACACAGTTGCCTCTACTTGAATAGAGAAGGGCAGGAAATTCAGAGAGAAAACAATGAATATCCAAGCCCTGCTATAGTCTCTACTCGACAAGCCTACATCCTCAAAAGGACACTTTCTTTCCTGTTCAGGTCCCCACCCTGCCCCCATACACCCAGCAAAAAAGAGTGGGCTCCACGCGTCTCCCCCAGTGTGGATTTCCTGGAGTCCCACAGGTGATGCGGCTGCTCCTGCCTCTCTTGGGGTCATGTCCCCAGAGCCCCTCGGGGTGGGAGCCGAGTCTGTGCTGTGAACACCCCACTGTCCCCCCAAGTGGGTACCCTCCTGAGAGGCCCCCTCCTCAGCACAGGCTCCACACCACGCAGAGCTCCTGGGGCACCACAGATCAGAGAATGACGTGGGACTTCCTGGAAAGGCCTCCTTTTTCTCTCCTCCCCAGCCTCGTCCCCTCCCTCACAGGCCTGCAGCCCCACGGATCATCTTCCAGCCACTGGCCCCACTGCGCCCACTCCAGCCTAGGTGGCCCCTTCTCCAGCTTCGGGTCACCCTGGAGTGCCTCTCCACAGAGGATCTGTCCTTGGCCAGGCTGAAAAGTGACCCTGGGGTCCTGTACATCACCACCTTGGATGTCTGTCAGCATTTATCAACAATCCCTCCTTACCTTGTTTGCATTCCTCAAGTAGTTTACTTGCTAACTAGCTGTCTTGCCAGTTAACCTCATGAGGACTAGGGGTGGCCTGCCTGGTCCCACTGTGTTCCCAGCTTCCAGAGCAGCACTGCACATAGTAGGCACTCAATAAATCAGTGAAAGATGAGTGAATGGGTTGGAGGAAGCCCCTCCCAATTCATGTCCAGTCTGAAGATAAGAAAAACCTTCCTCCTCCAAAAACCCTGTGGTGCCTAAGGCTATAGAAACCAAAGGCAAGGAAGTTTCTTTCATCTGCCGTTCATCCTGCAAAAAACCCTCCACTCCAGTGCCCAGGGAAGAAAGGGCACTAGAGTTTACTGAGCGGGAGCTGGGCAGGTGAGAAGGAGAAGGGAGAGGGAAATTCAGGAGGAAAGAGTCCAGCGAGGATCACTCCAAGGCTGGCCCACCACGCCCTGACTGCAGTTGTGATTGCCAGGGCCCCTGCGGCTCTGCTGGGTCCGGGTGCGAGCAGGCACGGAGGTGCTGGCGTCAGCTCAATTCACAGGCCCCGGACTCCTGTCTAAACAGGACAGGCCCGGGCAACCACAGCGCAGGGGTGTCTGCCAATGATGGGAGAGGACTCTGCTGCTTCTTAAGCTCCAGCGACTCAAGCCAGGGCGAGACAGCCTGCCGGCCACCCAGATCTCCACTTGCCGCCTAGAGCTGGGACGGCAGCAGGGCTGCGGCAGAGGGAGGGAGACCACGCGGTGGCCGCCCCTGCCACCCACGCCCCCACTCCAGGCATGGCCGACCAGCTGACTGAGGAGCAGATCACAGAATTCAAGGAGGCCTTCTCCCTGTTCGACAAGGATGGGGACGGCTGCATCACCACCCGCGAGCTGGGCACGGTCATGCGGTCCCTGGGCCAGAACCCCACGGAGGCTGAGCTGCAGGACATGATGAGAGAGATTGACCAGGACGGCAGCGGCACCGTGGACTTCCCCGAGTTCCTGCGCATGATGGCCAGGAAGATGAGGGACACGGACAGCGAGGAGGAAATCCGCGAGGCCTTCCGCATGTTCGACAAGGATGGCAACGGCCTCGTCAGCGCCTCCGAGCTGCGGCACATCATGACCCGGCTGGGGGAGAAGCTGAGTGACGAGGAGGTGGACGAGATGATCCGGGCCGCAGACACGGACGGAGACGGGCAGGTGAACTACGAGGAGTTTGTCCACATGCTGGTGTCCAAGTGAGGCCGGCACCACTGGGCCAGCGGGGCATGAACCCCAGGCCTCCAGCCTCCTCCTCCATCCCCACCTCCCCCGGGCACCGCAGCTTCTTCCGGGGCGGTTGATTCAGCCCACCTCTCTGCCTCCCTCTTCCTGAGGCTCTGCTCTGCTCTTCCTCCGACCTCCCCGCCTGCCCATCTGAGTGACATGGAACGCTCCCACTCCAAGCAGACCGTGAAACCCCCCACTCGGGAGAAGCAGAGCTGACCTTAGGAACAAGCACCAGGGCAGGTTGTGCTGGCTCTGTGGCCACCAGGATGGACCCCCTAGAGCACCCAGGCAAGATCCCCAAGAGGCACCCAATGCCCAGGCCAGGGCAAGCTGCAGCCCTCAGCCCACACCTGGATTTCCTGAGGCTCCTGGACTGCAGGCTCCCTCTGCTGTGGGATTCTGGAGGGTGGGGGGCATCTTAGCCTGCAGTGAGTGGGGCTGATGGGAACTCTGGCCACAGAGGTCAGGCCTCCTGAAAACAGCACTGCCTTCCATGCTGCTCCAGCTTGCCCCGTTCTGTCTCTGACAACCCACCGTGATTCACTGCTGAGGCTGGGAGTGAAACCGGGTCGGCTATAACCTGTTCCTATTCATCTGGAAGGAGGGAGGCTTGGGTGGGGGGAGGGCAACTGCAGGGAAATATATGAGACAGTCGTTATTTCATTTCCTTTTTTCTGGTTCCCACTGCAACAATCCTTGTTAAATTCAGCGTTGAAACAAAGCAGGAATCTCCATTTTTGTGCTTTTGAAAATGTAGTATATTCCTATACTGGTGGGTGCCTTGCAAAGATGTCTGGATGAGGGCAATCTTGAATATTTGTTCCCAATAAAAAGGATACGTTGGCAGCAAAGAGTGGTTAAAAGTCCATCTAGGACTTGAAAGACCCGAGTCCATCACGTTGAGAGGGAACCTGCTGATTGCTTTTCTTCTCCTGTGCTCCTGGTTGTGAAGTGCCAGGCACTAGAAGATGGTGAGGGGCTGGGGGCACATCGGGCACACGCAATGTAGGAGCTGTTCAGAGACATTAGTCCTGCGCTAGCCCAGCAAGCAGCTGGCAACACCCAGAGAAAGTCGAAGGGTCCCTGCCAGAGATCCCTTCAGTTCTAAAGGGAGGTACGTTTTGTAGGGTGGGCACTAGACACCACTCCTCAGAAAAGGCCATAGTGGATGAGTCCTCTCTCCCCAACACCTCCCCCCACCATGTTTCCTCCTTTGTCAAAGAAAGAGCTTGGCCCCACCCCGGCCTTGCCATCATCACTGCACCACTGGGACCTCCAGGGAGGCAGGACCCTCGTGCCGCCTGCCTGGGCTGGGGCACCAGCAAGCACTCGGTCTGCATAGACACTCGGCACCTCCCTGGGGGGCAGCCACTGTTATTACCTTCCTCATCTAACAAACGAGGAAGTGGAGACACAGAGGGCTTCAGAAAGCAGCCCTGGGTCCTGCCAGGGCATAAGAGGCAGATCTGGGTCTGTGCCCCGACCACTGAGCTACACGTCCACCACCAACCCGCACGTCCACCTTGGTAATTACAGTAGTGCGCCTCTCCAGCACTTGTAAGGAGTGGGAACAACATTCTTAACACACCTGGCATGAAGTCAGTGCTTTATAAATGACAGCTACTATGACTATCACCTTAAAGATTCCTTCCTGTTCTAATACCGCAAGGCTCTCCAGGACAGCCACCCTCTCCATAGCTCGAGAACAAGAGAGCAGAAAGAGCAAAAGCAGGTGCTCTAGGGCTGGATTCCTGAGGGGATGCTGGAGGGTGGGGTGTCGGGTGAGCATGGACCCAGGGCAAGTGTGAGTGCTGGATGGTGGGGTGTCGGGTGAGCATGGGCCCAGGGCAAGTGTGAGTGCTGGATGGTGGAGTCTCAGGTTAACACAGACCCAGGGCAGGTGTAAGGGCTGGATGGTGGTGTCTCAGGTGAGCACAGGCCCAGGGCAGGTATAACTGCAGGTCCTCCTGTCGGGGGAACAGAAACAGAGCAAGCTAAGGCTTAGTTTGATGAACGAACCCCCACCCCTGCCTGTCATTCTCAGGAGTCGGGGTTGACTGGGCAGGTCCTGGGGAAGATTTAGGAAAAGCCTCATGAACACTTTGGACAGTGTCCAGAGGTCATCGGGCAGCAGCTCTCCAGGGGGTGGGGAGCTGTAAGCAGGAGGGGCAGACAGAAGCCCCCACATGGCTGCTGACTACCAACCAAAAGGAACAGGATGTCAGGCCTGAGCGCCTTTCACAGAATGCCTCCTAAATTCTGCAGGAGGGAGAGAAGCCAAGGTCTCCCTGCACCAGCCGTCTTTGCAGTCACTGTCATGCACACGGCTGAGGTTTGACATCTAAGCCCCTCTTCCCAGGTGCGGGCTTGAGGAAGCTCCTACAAGGGCTGGGACCTAGGCACTGCCAAGGCCTGGGCTGGGCGGGCACGGCAGTGTCTATTTGCTTTCCTCCCAGCCCCCCGGTGATTCTGCCAGAGCAGATCTTTTTGCAGCCCCACACACCAGTCATTCTGGAACCACCTGGCCTGGGTTTCGCAGTTGCTGGGAGCCTTTCCTCAAGAGCTCTCTGTGCTCGGGCAGGCACTGGCTGGGGTGGAGGAAACACCCTGCCTGCTCTCAGCTTAGCACCAGCAGCCTCATATCCTCCCTGAGGGGGGGTCCTCAGAAGCAGAGTACTAAATGGAAGGGTCTCCTTTCCACAGACAGAAGCCCGAGGCAGCAAGGTCCAAGTGGGTCCCGTGACAAAGGTGAATGGCCCTTCCCCTCCCCCTTGGTGTTCAAATTCAAATTTTTTTTTTTTTTTTTTTTGAGATTGGATCTTGCTCTGTTGCCCAGGCTGGCGTGCAATGACAGCTCACTGCAGCCTCAACCTCCCGTGCTCAAGTGATCATTCCACCTCAACCTCTAGATTAGCTTGGACTGATGCATACTACCAGGACCCACTAAAAAAAAAAAATTGCAGAGATGAGGTCTCTCCGTTGCCCTGTCTTGCCCAAACTCCAGGCCTCAAGTCATCCTCTTGCCTCAACCCCCCAAAGTGCTGGGATTACAGTCATGAGCCACTGCCCAGCCCCGAATATGATTGTTCAGTAACATCTTCTGTCATCCCTTCTCTTTGAAGATGAGTCATCAGGCCTCATCACAGTGACCGCAGCCTGCTGTCACATGGCTCCGCCCCTCCCAACCTTCCTCGTGGGGTAAGGAAGGCCAGTCCAGAGGGGGACGCAGCTCTGACTATTCTCTCTGACGCTGCCCCTTCTGCTTCAAAGAGTGTGATGCCCAGGGTATCCCCTGACCTCACCAGCAGACACCAAACCCACAGCGTGGATGCATCTCATTGGGCTAGCACTGCTGACCTCCACGGTGTGGCATCATCTACTCTGACACAGTTTACCCATGGCAGCGGGTGTCCTCTCACACAACAGCCTCGGGGTCCAGGGCTACCGGGAGCACGCCCGGCCTGTCTCCAGCCTCCTCCCCGTCTCCCTTTATCTTATCTTCCCTTCTTCCTTCCCACCCTGGTCAGCACCTCCAAAGAGCCTGTCCCAATCCCAGATGTCACGTCAACTTTTTTGTTGGTAAAATGTGGTCACTCTAGCTGCCAGGGGTGGGTGCTCGCCTGTTGAATGTGAGCAAAGGGAGGCTTGGGGGCTGGAGCAGGAGGAAGGAGCCACCCAAAAGGGCATGCAGAGTTCCCCAGAGGAATCCCGCCCTGCGGGTCAAGCTCTTTTCCCGCCCTGGGCTCTGTGGCAGAGACTTAGAGGCCGTTGCCTGACTGGCATCTCCCTTTCCTTCCAGTCATTGAATCACCGAATTTAAACAACTTGTCTTCATCCCCCAAAAAGGTGCTATCTGACTGCAGCTCAAAACAACATTCCGTCCATCCTAGGGGGAATGAATTTATAAATATTACCTCGGCGTCCATGTGCTTTCACTGAGCTCCCTCATAAATCAGGGCTTGGGGCCCTGCACTCCCAGACTATATAAAGCTCGCCTCTGACTCCTGTGTTTCCAATTTTAAGTCAAATTCAGCCCAGCCATGCCGGCTCCTGTTTATCCTTAGAGATTCCAAGGGCCTGTTCAAAGGCTCCCAGAACCAGCCAGCTAAAAATGACCCAAGGCTTCCGCTAGAGAAAACTCGTATCAAAACTCGTGTATGGGGTGAGACTGCTCCATGGGAACGGTAGGAACGGGGAATATGAGCTGTGTTTCTCCACCAAAAACAAAGCTACACAAAATAAGACCAAACCAAACCACCCCTGAGACGGGTCTGGCCCGGACCACGTGTCAGCCTCCTCACAGCTTCTCGGGGGTCTGGACTGGGCAAGAAAGGGAAGTACCTGGGAAAGGCCTCCTCTGAGCCTTTCTAACAGGGACAAGGCTGGCTGCTGAGTACTGAGTGGGACAAGCACCCTCCTCAAAGTGCAGGGAAGTGAAAAGCTTGGAACAGAGCCAGAAGCAATGGCCAGGTTTCCATAATCAGAGGAGAAGGTCCCTATGGGAATAATAACAAGGAACCACACACTGTGCCCTAAACACCTTCTTCAGGTCTTCCATGTCTTTCTAGCATGCGCAGAACTACCAGGGAGGGGAAAGGAGCCAGGCTCTTAGCACACAAGGAGGGGAACATCTGAAGGGTAAACATCAGGTGGGCCCAGGCCTCTTGGGCAGCCCTGCACCCCTGGGGGAGCTGAACATCCAGGGAGTGACAGCATGTGGCCCTACTGGCCCACAGTGAAGTCCAGGCCCCGTCATCACCAGCCAGACCCGGCTCACCTACAGCCCGCTGCACACCTGAAGACTCTGGTCCGAAGGCTCCCACCGCAGCAGCTCACCCTCGCTGGGGCATGCTGGCGGGAGGCACCTGCCATGCATTTCATGAGCTCCTTTCATCCTCCGAACCAGTCCGTGCAGTAGCTTGTTTTAGCCTGTTTTAGAGAAGAAAAGATTAAGACCTTGAGACTTTGAATAACTTCCGTAAGGCCGTATATCTAGTGAATCAGAGTTTGACCCTTCTGACTGGCCCCAGAGCTCACGCCCTTTCCACTGTGCCAGAGAGGAGCTCTCAGAGCAAGAAGCCTGAGGCTGAGAGGCGCTGAGCTCACAGAAGCGGTGAGTGACGGAGAGACCTTGGTAGGAAAGGCCTGGAAATGGGAAACAGCTGTCAGGCAGAATTTGCCTGGGCAAGGAGGACCTAGAGAAAAGAAAAGGGATTGATGGATGCCAGGAAAATCCAGGAGCCGCAGGACCCGTCATGCCTGGGTGTAGGTGTCCGCAGAGCAAGTGCTGCTGGACCACCCACTTGCCTCATGATGTCTCACTGCCCCTCTGGCCCAGCACGGGGCCCCACGCAGGTGCTGGGGCCACTGCAGTCCCAGAAAACGAGAGGGAATCCTGCAGTGGCCACATCTTTGCAACAGGAGGTCCCAATTCGCTACCTGCCCCACACAGGTGCATCTATCTGCAGCTGAAGTGCTGCACGAAACTTCTCATTCACTGCAGCAGAGCAGCTGGGAGGTGACGGACTTCTTAGCTTCTCACCCAAACTCACATCTTGGGGTGCAGACGATGGACAGTCGGAAAAGGCCACATGACCCTATGATGGTTGAATGGTGCCCCCTACCTCCAAAAACACATATGTTGGAGTCCTACCCACCAGGAC